GAATAACTCAAAAAATATTTGAAATAAAATTTTTTAAATTCCAGATTCGCACTCAGCGATGAATTCTACATTGACTACATATATAAAATATACATGTAAAATTTGGCGACCGATCGACGGGGACGGGTACGGGGACGGGGGAAAAAGTGCTGCCCGTATGAAATACCGGGCCATGAATTTAAGAGAAATGTATGTATGAAATGATTTTATGAATATCACACAATCATAGCGTCATCGCCACAATCCCTATAGAATTACAGCAAACATAATGCAAATCAAAACATATCATACATCAAACATTTTCTCTCATCTAAGAACATATGAAATGCATTATTTATAATCAAATCAAATACACAATAAATTATATAAAAATATTTATTTATAGTGTGTTTATATACAGAAACGATATGAAAATGTGCACATGATATACATATATAAGGGTTCGTTTTGGTGCCACAANACATCAAACATTTTCTCTCATCTAAGAACATATGAAATGCATTATTTATAATCAAATCAAATACACAATAAATTATATAAAAATATTTATTTATAGTGTGTTTATATACAGAAACGATATGAAAATGTGCACATGATATACATATATAAGGGTTCGTTTTGGTGCCACAATTATTTACCATGAATTATATCACTATTGAATCCAATCTATTGTTTTAATTGGTTATAATCCTAATAAGTAATTACATAATCTATTGTTATACTCGTTCTGCTATTAAACATAAATAAATAATACCTGAAAACGCAATAAAAAGCAAAACTAAACTCATATATAAATTAAATTGTATCATTTTAAGTCGTTTTATCATCTTAAATCAAATTGTGTCACTAATGAAAGCGCTATTCCCGGCGTTATTCTCAAATTAAAAAAAGTTTAGTAAAAAACAATATTAGAAACGTTTAATTGAAAAGAAATACAATTTTTGAAAGAAATTTTGGATTAATTGTTTGGTTTAAAATTACAAAAGAAGTTGAAATTTTAACAAAATTAGGACACTATAGACATGTGTAATGAGTGCTCAATATAATGAATATGTGAATAGTATTTATGAGAAGAAAGTCCTAACTGTCCCGCGAATAACTTTGCGACATATGGGACAGTCGGCCACACAGGGGGCGCATTGAGTGCACGCCAACTGATGGCCACACGGGAGGAACACCACTCCTATCTCGCGGTCTAAACATATTTTACACAATAAACGATTGTCTTCCACACGACTCGATTCACAATCAATTGGCGACACTTCGGGTGACGAGGAATAGTTGGATAGTGACGATGCGGTCGACGACAATGACGACTGAGAGCTCGGCAGCTCTTCGCCACCAGAATGATAGTCGTCATCACTGGAACTGCTGTAGAGATCATCCGAAGTGTGGGTCTCCTCTACGCTTTGGTTTCGGTTAATCAAACTAATGGCACAAATAAAACAATACATTAGTAAACAAAAGCTAACAATGAAATCAATGAATACATACTTTTGTACATTTGAATCACTCCTGCGTTGGGAAGTGACCGCATCGTAGAGCTGAGCAAACGAAGTATATGGTTGTCTCACTTCGTGCCATCTTTTGTTGAGCACAGCCTTCACCTGATCAACGGTTCCCACATTGATGTCCATTATTTGGAGCACAATATCGGTATTCATCCATTCATTGACGGCACGGATGCCCAACGCGTTCACCGATTCTTCATCGGAGTCGTAATCGCTGTATATTTCGGGATCGGATTCGTTCTCATTGAGTGAATTGGTGTGCCTTTCGTTGACTTGCATTTGTTTGCATTCATCGACAAATGCCTGCGATTTGTTGAGCACAACGAAGTGACAGTCGGGAAACCATTTGGCGTGTTCTGTCCACGGCTCGTCTCCCGGCTCCCAATTAGACAGACCGCCGTCACAGTAGAAACACTTCGTGTAATCACTCATTCCTGTCAAATACAATCAATGTTAATATTATTGTC